ACGCTGCTGTGCAGTGCTCGCTGGGGCCCCGCACGCTGCCCACCAGCCGGCCGCTCGGCACCGCTGCCCTCTGGGCCCGCGGGCCCCTCGCGCTCTACTCGCCTGTGCCCGACCGCCGCCTCTTCACGCTCCCCGAGGCCACCGGCGCTCAGGAGAAGAGCCAGGCAGCAACGGGCGCCGTTGCTGAGGAGCAGAAGGCCAAAGATGACAGCGGGAAGCAAGAGGAGGAGCAGGCGGAGGCTGCCCCGCAGCCCAAGGAGTGGGCAGAGGCGCCGCAGCAGGAGCCTGCGGTCCCCAGGCGGGCGCCTGCCTTCCAGGTGCGCAGCGCTAGGAGCCCTGGGCTGCCGTGGGGAATGGGCATATCCCGCCTTGGGCAAGGGGGTGAGCCCTGAGGGGGCTGAAGGGAATGTGACTCCTGTGTGGGAGAAGGCTGGGTGCTCCCCAGCCTGACTCCCCCATCAGGTCCTTAGGGGTGGTCGTTCCTGTGGGGCTCCGGTTCTCCTGCGGTGGAGGCCTCCTGCCTGTGAGCATGGGTGCTGTGATGAGAGAGCTGGGCCTCGTGGTGTTGTGAAGCTTCATGTGCTTTCTCTCGACAGTTCCTGGAGCAGAAGTATGGCTATTTCCACTGCAAGGACTGCAAAACTAGATGGGAGAGTGCCTATGTCTGGTGCATTTCTGGAAGCAACAAGGTAGCTAAAACAAGCATGTCCTTGTTTGAGACTTGCAAGAATGGCTACAAAGCTGTTTTGACATGAGCTTAGGGATGTCCTGAGTAAATCCCTGTAGTAACCGAGCTCTTGTTTCTTAGGTATACTTCAAGCAGCTCTGTCGCAAGTGCCAAAAGGGCTTCAATCCCTATAGAGTGGAAGCTATCCAATGCCAGGTAAGCACGCTAGTGCCTCAGGACTTGGGTACTTGGTAAGACTGCCAAAGTGCTCTATATATTCTAATGAAGTGTTTAGTGGTTTACTATTGCTGCAAGTGATATTGATTTTTTTTTTTTTTTTTTAATCTGGAAGAAAACAGTGTCTGAACTTGCATTCATCTCATTACTTGAGCGTAGCCTAATACTAAGACTGCTTCTAACAAATGATTCTCATCAGCAGTCTCAATGTCAAACATAACGATGTGTAGGGGTCAGTGCTTTGTGACACATTGGGGTTTTGGGCTTCTAGATAAGAAACTTGCAGTTCAGCACAGTAAGGCGCTGCTTTTTTTTTTTTTTTTCTTCGTGCCCTTCTCTGCACTTTGTCAGTTCTTTGCAATGTTTTGACTTTAGGCTTTTGACCTGGCATTGGATATTGGATTAAGTCTTTTCTATTATTCATAAAATATTTAACTTGACTGTATGTATGCTGTAAATAAAGTTCAATAAATGTTTGCACTAATTTATTACCACTTTGTTTCATCTTACTGTGCTGCAGAGGGAAATACACCTGTCAGTTATATTCCCTGTAGATATAACTGCTTTATAGGGGCAAAGTGTAAGGCAACTTTGCACAGAAGCTTCCAGGTGCATCATTGAAATTAATGCAGTTCTAGGCTTCATTAGGACACACTTGTTACCCCTTTGCCTAAAGTCTAGATATAATGTGGAGAAGAGGGAGAGAGGGGAGGGGGGAAAAAAAAAAAAGGCGGGGGGGACATGATTCCTCAACTCCTCTTGTAACTGTGTGGAACCTCAGGAGCTCTGCAGGGCTAATTACCTAATGAGGTTTTTGCCTGTCCCTAAGGATGGAAATTAGGGAGTGCCTCTCTGCAACCCTAGCCACTGTTTGAACCCTTTCCTGGTAAAAGCTTTTCCTTTATTTCCCAGAGCTTTCTGTGTTGTGACTTATACCTCCTGCTGCCCCTTCAACGCTCTGGCATCGGTCTCTTGCTCTAGAGCCCAAGCTGGAGTGTGCGTGAAGGAAAGAGCAGAAAGGTCTTTTTGGTAGCCTTACACAGGCCTTGATCCACTCTGTCCATATCCTTCCTCTATCAGGAATCTGAAACTCCATGTTGTTCCAGCTGTGGTCTCATAAGCTTTGAACAGAAGAGCAATGTGACTTCCCTAGGTCTGCTGGCAATAATCCTAATATGGCCTGGGATGCAGGTGGCTGCAGGGATGCACTGACATGTTGTTTTTGTTCACCAAAATTTTGGGTCCTTTGTCACAGAGCTGCTTTCCATGTAGCTCAACATGGGTTGTTCCATCCTCATGCATTTCCCTTTCGTGTTTTGATTTTGTGTTATCCTTGGCTGAACTTGATGGGATTCCTGCTAGCCATTTCTCTAGCCTGTTGAGGTTCCCCTGAGTTGTAGCCTTACTCTCCGGGTCTACCAATGTCCCCCCTTTCCTGCAAATTGGCTCTTGCCTGTGAACTTGCTTAGAGGGCACTAAGGGCCCATCACATGCCCTTAGTAAGGATGTTACAGGATATAGACTTCAAAATGCTACTAGAAACCATCTGGCAGATGGAATTTGTACAGTTGCCCAGCTAATTTTCCAGCTGCCTTATCCAGTATGTATCTCAGCAGTTTGGCACAGCCACGTCGAAGGGCAAGGAACACGACATCTACTTTCCCCCTGCTGACCCCTTCCCTCTCTTTGTCTCTGCCAATGGCTTCCAGGCAATTTCATTCCATAGCCTTCCTGGGGACTGAGTGGAGCTGACGGGTCTGTGGTTCCAGACACCCCTTCTTGAGGATGATCATGTCATTTACCCTTTTCTGGTCACCAGAAGCCTCCCTTGGGCTCCACAGCTTTCAGCGAGGACAGCCGGTCACAAGTCACATCCCATGGACTTGTTTTGTCCAGTTGGCCTAAGCGGTCCTTAAGTCTGTTTTCTGCTGCAGGCAATGTGGATACCTCCCATAGACCCTCTTCATAAGCGCAGGGATCTGGGGAACAACCTTACCAATGAAAACCAGGACAAAAAGTAAGCAAAACATCCTGCTGTGTCCCACAGCCTGTCCCAAGCCCTTTGTCATGCCAGCCCTTGCCCCACTGAGCAGCAGACCTGTGTTTTACGTAGCCTACCTTTTGTAGCCGCTGCACCGCCACAAGCCTGTCACACCAGCCTCCACACCCCATCCTAATTACAACTCTTAAACCGAGAGAACTGCCTGAGATCTTTGTGAAGCCAATCTCATTTAGAAAGACTTCACCAGGGAGAATAACTGGAGAAAAGCAAATGTTGCAAGCTCCCCCCTTCCAAAAGGGCCAAATGGTCAACTCAACAGACTACAATCTGGTCAGCTTCTGAAGACCTCTTGCAGCACAATCAAGCAGTGCCCAGGGTTGCCCGGGAAGCTTGTGCAACCCCATCCTTGAATATTTTCAAGATCTGACTGGATAAAGGCCTGAGTAACCTGTTCTGATCTCATCACTGACCCTGCCTCCAGCATGCGGTTGGGCTAGATAATCTCCTAAAGCTCCTTCCAACTTGAATTTGCTTGTGATTTGAGACATAGCCATGACTTTGGAAAGTGATAAAGCAGACTCACCAACCAACATATTTTCTGCAGGCTGCCCTGATTACAGTTCTGGATAGCTTTTAGAAGTGAAATACGTAACTGTAAGCTGAAGATTTCTCTAGTCATTGCTGATTATTTTACACGGGAAAAAAAACAAGTGTGTGATGAACAGGCAACTTCTTTTTAAACAGATTGGCCACTACAAATGGCCTGCAGTGCTCAGTGGACTGACTAAAAAATTGAAACACCCCTAAAAGGGATGGATTCTACCCCATTGTATGCATCAACAAGCATGCTGAAAAAGAAAAAGGCACAGAGGGGAAAAGGCTTTGTCTGATTCTCAGAGCCTAAGCTGATATGACAGGATGGACAGCTTTTAATTTTAGTACGAGAAAAAAGCTCTGAGACGAAAGATGGAACTAATAGCAGCATAATGACATTTTTAACATAAACAAACATTAACCCACATTTTAAATTTTATTTTTGAATTATTAAGCTGCTCTTTGAGTAAGTTTTACCCTTCTCAGTTGAGTTGCAACTACAGTCTGACAAAGAAATCCTTATGCTTCTCATTGGTCTCTTCCAGTAAGGACCCATTCCACCACAAACCACGACCAAGTTGTCTTTTAGGGGCTGGTTATCACTGATGCCATTGGCAACAGCACAGACTGAGACGAGAACAAGATCTGCACAACCAGCACATACTCCATTGTGATTATATATGACTTTATATTTTAGTTAAATGGATTTACTGATCCAAATATCAACCAAAGTTACCTCACAAAAACGGTAAGTGTATTTACAGAGTGAATAAGTTACATAGTTGTCAGAATAAAAGTGTCTCAGATGTGCAACAGATTTACATGCATACATTTAACACTGGACAGCAGTTAAATGTAAGAAAAAACCGTACAGGTATGACTTTTATATATACATTACAAATAAAATAAGACATCTCTTTAAAGAAACTTAACATGAGAACTTGCATTTCACGTTAATATTTTTACTTTTTATACTCCAAATTTATATTAAATAAAAATATGCATGCATAACAGTTCAAAAGATTTGACTGTGATGGAAAGATTGACTCTTTCTCCTACAAAATGGCAAGTTAAGTTAGATCAACCATCCTTTAATAGTATAAATATATTCATAAAAGCAACCCTCTAGTAAAAAGCAGCCAAGGTCCTTAAAAAAAAAAAAAGAAAGAAAGTCTACCAAGACCATTCATGATACTTGGGGGCCTAAGAACAGACCTCTACAATATGATCCAGTACCTTCAGAGACAGTAGCCTAGTAACATTAGGAAATGTACTTCATAGCAGCTCGTTGTTTTCAGATACAGTAATCATATTCAAATTACAGTGTACATTGAACTGTAGTCCATTTACAATTTGTTTCATATACACAGGCGCTCAGCTTTTGACCAACAAGTTTGCGAGGTTCTGTGGCCAGCTTCATTCTGCCCATCTTTCACTCAACCAAAAAAAAAAAGAAAGAGAAAAAAAGGAAAAAATGTACAAGGCTTTTTAACAAAAAATATTATTTTGTGAAGGAAACATTGCACTTTTGCCAACCTAAAATTAATTTGCTATAAAGGAAGTATTGTTCAGTGTAGTAGGCTTTGGTATGCGATGGAAGTCACTTCTTCAGTAGTGAGTTGCAGTTGCTCAGTGAAATGCTAACTGGTTTTTGTGCAACAGAGAACCAAGGATGTTGTCCTGGATGCTCTATGCTACCTTTGTCCTGACAGTATTGCTACACATTTGATGTTCTGCCCATACCTTTTTAGAAGAAATCCTAAATGTAACAAGAGTGAGTGCAGTTTGACCAAACCTTTGTAAGGCTGAGAAGACATTGAACCACCTCACTCCAGCAGGGCAGCACTCCCAGCTTGGAAGAGGACCCACGAGTCCTGTCAGAGACTTGTGCCGGAAACGCTGGACTCTGGAAGAAAAGTATTGATGACCCGGTAACTCTGAGCTCTGCGAATCATGTCACGAATCTCTATATTGAGTTCCATTAATTTGGTACAGATTTCAGTCAGGCTCTGGTTGGAGCCCACCAGTGCATAGGTGCCAGTCTGGCCCAAGGTTTGGTGCCGGAAGTAAATGTTCAGTAGTGTCTGGACTTCATCATCAGAGCTACTTCCAAAGATATCATTGGGCCACAAAATCCTGCAATCAAACAGGAGAACAATGTGCATATCGTTAGGGATTTATTAGCACAGGTTGAAACTAGGTGATAGAGCTCTAAAAGGTAAAATGACTTGCACGTGTTTATAAGCCTAAAGCAACACACTGTTTTACGCTGCTCCTTTGTAAGTGAGACTCTAAAGATTGGTTACTGTAACCACAGAAAAAAGCAACTCCTATTTTCTAAAAAGAGCTTAAGAAAACTCATTCAAATAAGTGAAACAGAAATTGGGCTGAATGTTAGCTGATGTCAATGCCATGCCCTTGCTAAGGAATTAGATCCACAGATTCTCAAGAGCATTACAGTAGTACTTTTGATCTAAGCGATATAATTGAACACGGTAAGTGTTTTATACATGTATGTTTATATTACTGATTTGGTGTCTTTATTTATGGACACCTCAGCAAGAGGTAACACCAATGTGCCAGGTACCTTCCTGAAACACTGACCTCTTTTGATAAGCCAACACATTAGGTGTAGGATAAGCTTTGGAAGATAAACAATGCATGCTTTTCTAAAAACATGGAAGTCCAGTGCCAACCATGCAGTAGAACTTGCCTGCATTCTCTTATTTGTTGCACAGCTTTAACCAGTTCGTTGTTTTTCAGACACTCCAGCATGGACTGAATAGCTGCTTCTGTAGAGTTGAATGTGGGCTCTGATTCCACGCTCAGAGGCTCGGCTGCAATTGCAGCAGTGGCATCCTTAAGATTTTTCTTCAACTCACTCAATTCTCTTGACATATTTAACAGCTGTTCCAAGGAAAAGAGATGTGAGATAGGTTTTTACATTCCCCATAAGCCCAAAATGCAGTAGTGCATTTCCAGTCTGCTCTTACTGTTTTATCAAATGTACATATTATTTGGAAAAGACCCTTTTTTAACAAAGACATCTCTTCACACCTATGGTCTACACAGTGCAATGAACACACAAGTGGCATTTTTTTTTAATCTCTGTGTTTTCTCTAATCCTGTACTATAATTTTGGCTTGCTAACGTGCCAGAGTGCATATTTTTCTAAACAATCTTTTCTTTTTTATATTGCTACTGTTTCTGTGTCACAGTGGAAAAGTTGAAGAAACTTGGGATATCAAGCGTGACTTCAGAACCCTAGGG